TATCATTTAATAAAAATAAAAATTAATATTTGATATACGAGTATTTAAAAAAACAAAATGGAGATGTGTAAAGAAACTTTGGTAGTATAAGGGTTTTCAAGGCCATGGTTTATAACCATGTTTAAAGTCCATAATTGTATGGACCTACTATACTCAAGAAGTGGGTGTGGCCCTTTAAGATACTGTTCTGACATTCTACTTCTTCAGATTTTATTCTGTCCTTCGGTTCCTTTTAACAGGTCAAGTCGAGATAAATTTTTATTTGTTTTAAATTTAATTTGATTTAAAAATTTTTTTTATATTTTTATATTTATATTTGATTTGACTTAAAATAATAAAATATTATTTTTTAAAAAATATAAAATATTATTTTTTAAATATAAATATATATAAATTTAAAATTTAAAAATAATTTTTTATATAATATCGGATCAAATCGAGTTTGTTTAAAACTCAAATTCGATCCAAACTTGATATGTTTTTTTAAAAAATAATATATCAATCTTATCCGATCCAAAATTTGATTTAAAAAAAAAAATCGATACTATAAAATCGCGTCAAGTTGAAACCTGTCAATTACAGGCCGGGCTGCCAACCCTAGTTCCCCTCCTCTTTGTTTCTGGTTTTTCACACTCAAGTACTCAAAGAGATGGTTCAATAGTTCATGGAGTAGAGATGTCCTAGAATTTTTTGAGTCATGCTTGGGCTAAGATTTAAAGACCCAATACCTGCCCAATTTGGCTCGACAAATTATCGAAATATTAGTTTATATATACTTTTATTATGCAGCAACAAGAAAGGTATACCAGTTCCTACATATTTAATCAATTTTTTATATATATAATCAGATTTGTGGGCGGGTTTGAGTTTGAAACGCCAAGCCGGCACTGCATGACCTCCTCTTTTGTTTAAATAAAGAAGGGCATGGGCAAAAAATATATGACCTGAAAGCCCAATTAAACCTGGCCAGGCGATGTACGCCTTTGATAAACAAAGAACTAGGACAAAAACCTTGGTTACTTCATCTAAATCTTATTGCCTCTGAAAATTGCGTGTGTTAAGTTATTTCTACCACTTCGTAAGCAATTGATCCACTGGATTTTATATCTTATGCTGTTAGAGAAGCGGTCCAAGTTAATAATATAATCTTGGTTGTCATTATTGGTTGCTGTCCAGGCCATGGTGACCAGGTTTTCATCCATTTCGACAAGGAACCAATCGAACGCACTGACGATTCTCACTAATGACAAGTGTATGGTTGCAACAAGTGACTACAGCGAGTTTCACAAGATGGCGAAACGATGTTTGCTAACAAATACTTTGGGTGCAAGTGCTCAGGTTTGCCACCAGGGTCCTTAACTATATTTATCTATGGAACTATGATCCTCTATTTTTGTGTTTGCATGTGAGCCATTTTCATTTCAAAATTTTGACAAATTGCAAGTCCGTTTTATGTTGTTGATACTATCTGTGTTATTCTTAGAGACGACATCGACACCACAGGGAAACTATGATCGAAAATAGATCAAGCCACTTTCATGCTTTGGTGAAGGATGATCCCCTCCAACCAGTCAACTTCAGGAAAATATTCGAGTCTTGAACTTTTTGGATTGGCAATGAAGCAAGTGAGTGTCTTTTATCCGTTCTGCTAATGGAAGATATTAAGAGTAAGGAATTAAAACATGAAGAATTTGTTTGTGACTTGTTGAGATAAACACCTTGTTATTTGCAGGCTTGGGGATGGACAGGCAATCAATTTATGTGCAGGAGCTTGGTACTACTTTGTCAAGAAAAGAGATGCATAAAATTTTAGTCATTGACATGATGGAGGGTGCAATTGACGTAGATTGGAGAGATTTCTTCCCGTACTTTAAATGGATTCCTAACAAAAGTTTTGAAATGAATATCCAGCAAAAACATTTCAGGAGGATGGCTTTGATGAACGCCTTGATCAAGGAACAGATGAAACGAATTGAATCAGGGGAGGTAGTCTTTTCTTGAGAGCTGAGCCATTGTCTTTGCCAAATTTTCTGTCTTTTTTTTTTCTTCTTGAAATCAATTAGCTTCTGATGCAACTAATATAGCTTGGATGGATCAAAAACAGGAAGTGAATTGTTATCTTGATTACTTGTTCTCCGAAGCAAAGACACTTACAAAGGGGCAATTAGCAATGTTGCTCTGGGAGGCAATCATTGAAACGGTAGATACTACTTTGGTCACAACAGAGTGGGCCATGTATCAGCTTGCAAAAGATCCAAGCCGGCAGGTTGTTTTAATTACTAAATTCTTTATTCTAATTAGTAATTTCATTCAATTTTGTTTTTGATCAGATTACGAATTTCTTGTTCCAAATTTAACAGGATCGTCTCCGTCATGAATTGGAAAAGGTTTGTGGTTCTAACAAGGTTAAGGAGGAAAATTTTTCGCAACTCCGATACTTAGATGCTGTTTTCCATGAGACCCTTAGGAAGCACAGTCCAGCTCCTCTAGTTCCTTTGAGATATGTACATGAAGATAGCCAAATAGGTGGGTATCATATACCAGCAGGGAGTGAGGTTGGTTTCTCTTTTTTACCTGAAATTCCTTGTTTTCTTTGTCCCTCAAAGGAAAGATATCAAAGTGACACTATTTTTTGAGCAGATTGCTCTTAACATCTATGGGTGTAAAATGGACAAGAATCATTGGGAAAACCCTGAAGAGTGGAATCCAGAGAGGTTTCTTGATGAGAAATTCGACCCTTTGGATTTGCGCAAGACAATGGCCTTTGGAGCGGGAAAGAGGGCATGCGCAGGTTCTCTTCAGGCGATGTTGATAGCTTGTGCAGCAATAGGTAGGTTGGTACAGGAATTCGAGTGGAGACTGAAAGATGGAGAAGAGGAGAAAGTTGATACAGTTGGGCTGACCTCTCAGAAGCTGCATCCACTGCTTGCAATCCTAAAACCAAGAAATTAAGAGGGAATAATACCCTCAGCTTTCTTAATTTCCATCCTTTAGGATTGATACATTAAGCATCTTTATTGCACAATCTTTGAACTTCTTTGGACAGAACATATTACAACTTAATTACTACAGTAAATCAGTTAGGACTTGAGCTATAATTATTAATGACTAGCAAGTCTCCACTATGCGAAAGAAAAGAAGTTTACTTTGATGCATCATCAATGTATTATAAAAGTAGCTAATTAACTATGTCTTGCTAAACTGATGCTCGCCTTCAGACTACAGTTATGGCCAAGTAATTACTTCTCATTATCTGAGATGGAGACTACATTCCATAAGTGGTTTAGACTTGCATTTGGATATGAATTATAACATCAAATTGTTAAGTATCATATTCCCAGAAAGCAGGCCATGCTTGTAAGCTTAAAAACCCTTATTGGTACAGTATTTGGCTTTCAGTTACTTTGACAATTTCAATTCGGTTGGTTTGGTTAGACTTGGAGTGCCTCAAAGAGATGTTCCCACAACTAACCTGGAATAAAAGTGGTAAAAATGCAATGCAAACTGAAAATGAGGGGAAGCCCTGTGGTGTACTTAGGTCCTGGTGAGGGTCATACAGGAAGTCTGGGCAGTCAGAAACAGGTCTGAACTCTGAAAGCTGCACCAAAGGAAATTCACATTGTACTCACCCAGAAACTGATAGAGTCAAGAGGAGAGAGAATCTTGCGACCGAGTCCCTAGACACACCATTCCCTCTTCGGCTGACTACTGCTAGACACGCTGGAGCCGCACGCGTGCTTGGCTATTAACAGTAACCACCATTCTCTATCCGTCACGTGTCTCATTCAGCGGTCAACAATCAAAGGAAGGACACAGCCCTTCTTGACCCCTGTCTGCACTGTTCACGGTAGGCAAACCCAGTTCTTGACTCTTCCTGCGCCACCTGAATGAGAGTCAGGCCAGGTTAAGACCAGATCATGTCAAGTCCCTAAAACAAGACAGTCCATGCCCATTTGCCCAAACCCGTCTCAACCACTTATCTATTGTCCAGCAAAAGTTTGGATAACGATACAGAAACACAAAATATTACTACTACCATATGATTAAAAAATTATTACGTAAATATACAAATACAAGAGGGTTTGGAACATGTTCAACCAAACAAATAAAGATATTAATATAGACATAATCAAAGGAGCAGAGATCACGGAAACCGAGAAATCCGGCTAACAAGTTAAGTGCAGAGAGAGTGACTAGGAGAGGTTTGTAGGCGCACCCAGCAAGCAATGCCAATTATTGCTTCCCACGCTGTCCGACACAAATTATATTGTCGGTCGGTCATCTTCTAGTATTTTACTGTACATCTGCTTCTCTCGAACATTGTACATGACATGCTTTCTCTCTCTTTTTACCCATCTTGGACGGTTGTTTAAGCCGACTGTCCTTGATAGATGCTCAAGTTAATCTCTCTCTCTTTGATTAATTGGCGGTTACTAGTTGCAGTTTATTATTAAAAGAATATCGGAAAGGTTATCCTGAATCCTGATTCATCCGCATCGTCAAACTAAACACTCAAGTTAAGGATCTTAAACGTGAGCACTGAACAGTAGCATGCTATATGATAAGTCTAAGAAGTCCTGCTAAATGACAGCTTTTCCTCGTTATGATCCGCCGCCTGGCCCCAAAAGCAAGGCAGGAAACATTTTGTGTTAATATAACTCCATTATGCATTGCAGCACTTTATAATTATATAATTCCATTTTCTAAATTTTTAATAAACAATTGTTACGTATAATTAACAGCAAACGTAAATGACAGATGAACATATATAATAGTTAAATTTCATGATATACCGTTATTCAAACAAAATTTTTTACGGTTAAGTTCCATATATAGTTAATGAATCTAATTAGAATAATAATAAAAATGTTTAACTTCTGAAGCTATAATGGATTAGTTACTTTAGCCGAGCCTAGCTTTGAGCGGCTATAAACATCGTACACTTCTTTATAAGTTGTTTTTGTTTTGTAGAACAGTAGCTGTGAAAAAGCCATTATTTATTCAAGCTTCTCTATTCCTCTTGTTTTGCTTATCCCTCTCTCCACCCCTATCCAACATTAACAAAATCCTCGGATATTGTCTCTTTTAGAACTACCAAAACATCTCCCTCCCTTTCACTCTCAAAATCTTCTCTTTCCCTCTTTTGTCTCTATCTCTGTGAAAAAATTTAAGCTTTAACCACCACTTTTGCACGCACCTTGAACCAACAAAAATGCTTGCAGATTCTGGCGACAGGCGTCCGGTTCGAGTCCCAGGAACCATGGGGTCGCACCCACCACCCAAACTGACCGAGCCACTGCCATGCCCCAGGTGTGACTCAACCAGCACCAAGTTCTGCTACTACAACAACTACAACCTCTCTCAGCCTCGTTACTTCTGCAAGTCGTGCCGCCGTTACTGGACTCAAGGTGGAACTCTCCGTAACGTTCCTGTTGGTGGTGGGACCCGCAAGGCTTCCAAGCGCTCTCGATGTTCTTCTGGATCTTCTCCCTCTGTTGCAACTTCTTCTTCCTCGAGCGTGACGCATGAAGCTGAGTCTGTGCCTATGGCTGTTAACCCTGTGTCTGTTATGCCTGGAGCTGGAGTTAAACCTGAAATGGGTTTGGCTGACGTGAATTTGAATGAAACTGCGGATCTTCCTGTGAATGGAGGCTTCACTTCATTCTTGAACTCTCAGGGAGAAGGGTACTTGACACTGGGTGGATACGGGTTTGGGGCTGGTTCAGGGTTTGATGGGGGTTGGGGATATCCTGGAAATGGCTATCTTGGTGGTTTTAGTGGAGGGGTTGGTGCTGGACCTGGTGCTGCCATAGGTGGAACTACTGGGTGTAATACATGGCAAGCAACAAACGATGTTGAAGGTGGCGGAGGGTTAGTTGATGGGGATTGCTTTGGTTGGCCAGGTCTTGCAATTTCTGCACCAGGGAAAGGTTTGAAGTAAAAGGATTTTGCCATTTCGAGAAAAGGGTTTCGTCTTTTAGGCTTTTACTTGGCTGAGAGAATGAAAAGGAACGAGGATGAAAATTTTGTTAATTTCACGAGTAAATTATAAAACAAAAAATATTATGAATTTTAATCATTAAATTAACAAATTTTTCATCCTTAATCCTTTCCATATTCTCTATCAAACAGAGCCTTAATGTTTTTTTTTTTTGCCTTTTGGATAGCGTTTGGATACTTTGCTGGTTACTGCTAAGGTGTTGTGGGATTTATTTTAAAGTTCTAGTTGTCTTTTCTTTTGGGTCTGTGTTTTTCTTTTGGTGGGTATAGAGACAATAGATTATAGTAGAATAGAAAGTGTCACCTCTTGGGTAGTGAGTTTCTATGTTCTTAGGGTTTCGTTTTTTGATGACTCTGTATATCTCTGGTGTCTTGAATATTTTGCACTGGGAAGGAAATGAATTTGAAAGTTTTTTTTTTTCTTTTGCAGCTGAAGTTCTACATTATAGAAGCAAATTTTCTTTTGTTTGAATGCATAAAATCCGAATAATAGCATTTTCGTTTTGTTTGTTTTCCTTTCTTTGGAAAGGGTGATTTCCATTGAATACTCTGCAGCAGAACACTCGTGACGCGTATCGTATTTGAGTTTCGATTTTCGAAGAATGTCTACAGGTTTCAGTTACCGACTACTCAACCACTAGTTAATCATTCCAAGAGGATATTTGGTTACGAATCTAACAAAAAAATTTCGAAGCCTTATGGCTCCATTAGAGCTTGCTCAAGTAAATTGGCGTTGCCAATTAAACCACCTTCAATAAAAGCAATTGAATTTTGGGTATTTGTACCTAGAGGGTATAAAATTTGAGCTGCAGATTATCAATTTCACCCAAGGAAAAGAGGCAGCAGGTGGACCTGGAATGCCATGGAATTTAGAATGATACCTCGAGAAAACATATTCACCTCTGGTCTCGTTTGAAAAATTGATTGTTGCCTCTGAGTGACATTCCGCCAACCAAGGGGCCATTTGAGAAGCATCTTGTTCATATTTGCTCTTAATGGAAAAAGCTATTGCTTCAAGGTCTCTACATGGGTTTTTGCACGTGTTTAAGTTGAGCAATCGCCTTCTCCCCTTTGACAGCTTTGATCAGTAGGAAAATTTCCTCTCAACAAACTCTTCCTTTTTGGAAGGTTTCAAATCTGAAAACGTTACCACAATCCCATGCCTAGTTGCCCCACTGCATTATCGAGTTCTAATTCCACTCATCTCATACGTGCCCTAATCATAATGTCATATGATGATGCTTCATGCCGTAAGCTGTAAGCGTGTAAATTGAATCAAATTTTAAGATTTAATAAACCAATATGATCTGCATGTGAAAAGAAATGGGATGTCCTCTGACTAGCACAGTTGTTTTACTGCTATTAGACTCGAAATAACACCAAGAGAAAGGAGTCATGGACCATGCTTCCAGTTTTTTTTTTCTTTTACTTTATGAGGAAGAGAAGACAGATCATTAGGTCGGTGGTAAATAATGTGAAAGAGACATTACAAATTAGTAGTTATCTTCCTACCTTCTTAACCTATACAATGATGATAACGATGCAGGTGGGGAGGTCAATTTTGCCTAAAATCATTTCCCTGTATGCCTTTGCTTAGGGATATTGGCAGGTTGGATATTGGGGCAGCAGCCAGATTGAAGTTCGTTTAATATGTGCACACAGTGCATTCTTGAAATAGGAAAGAAGAAACTTTCTCAGTTGGATTAATCATTTCCATCATCTATGTGGGGATTGTTGATTGCCCCACCATGCATAAGATACATTCATCCCCTTTTCAGTACTGCAGACATAGAATGTTCCAGGTTCCCCATTGGTGAGGACAATGCTATCTCTTTTTAAACCAAATGACTTCCTTTATTGGTGATTTCTTCTTTCTTTCTTTATGTTAGGTATGCTTCACTGCAGAAAGGACAGTGAAAAGGAAACCTCAGTTACTATTTCTGCATGCGCATTCGAACATGTTGCCCCTTAATTGACGGGTTCATTAACCTTATCAATTACATGACATTTTCCCTACATGATGATATAATGTGTTTTGATTACAGTCAGTTTGCTTCATAATGATGATGTCAAGATGATAATTACAGTCATTTCATTACCATCAATTTGCTTGACAAGAATGTATGAGCAGCGGTGGAGAGGGATTTGGGGAGAAGAAATTCCACATTAGATGCTAATAATAGCCCTCAATTATGAATTCATGGGGCACCGCTCTGGCGCTCTCCTTTCATTGTCACTTGCACCCTTTGAAAAACTAATTATATAGCTTCATTGAGAAGAGCCAGTGACATTTGAGGTGGACTGGAAATGGAAAGCCGTCATTGATGGCGTGGTACTGGCGAAAGCTATGACGAAAGTGAGGTTGTGACTTGGAGGTCTAAGCAGGCCACGGTTCTAAATTAACAAGACTGACGAAATAGGTGTGGATTAATTTTTGCTACTTGCTATGCTATCATGGACCTCAAGCCCTTTTCAATGAAATATGATTTCAAAGGTCTTTGTTAGCTTAGACACTTCCATTAATGATCTCAACATCAAATACTAGATCCAACAAGTTGAGGAGTTAATGTATTGAAGATTTTACTGGCTTTTATGTGTTGATGAAACAGAATACAGCTGATCAACAAGCCAAAGGCGTATTTCAAGAGGTGGAACCTATCACCGAACCTGAACTATGCATCAGGAAATATATAAATATTGTTTCTTGCTTATACTGAAACATGGACAGAATATGAATATGATCTGTAAATTCTACAGAATTCGAAAGCGTGTTTTATTGTTTTAGGTGTTTCATCTTCTTGGTTGGGCTTGAAGAATTTCAACTTAAGCCCATTGTTCACCAAACTCCAAACACCACCAATGGAGATGGCCGAGCTGAAGGCAATCCGCAGCCCACCGAGGATCCAATTGAAATACAAGTTGAAGCTGTATTTGGTAGGCCTTTTTATTAGAACCCACATGAAACAAGGATAAGCAAATGAAACTGGAAGAGTGAGTCCTCCTAACAGTCCAGCAAGACTTGAAAGGAATGGGAGTGCCACCCCTATGAAGAAGGAGACAAACCCATAGAAAACACGAAAACCAGATCGAACCCAGATTGAGCATGGGCTGTTGGTACGGCCAGTATATCCAGCTTCAAAGCTATCAAAAACTGGCATCGAATATATTTGGAAACTGCTCAGACAGTTGAATACCACAAGAAGAAAAGTCAGGGCAATAAGTCCTCTTGGAATGTCGTGACTGTGAATTGTATAAAGTGCATTGAGAATCCCTCCCGAAGGCGTCTGAATCAAGAGAAATAAATGCAATAAGCAACAGATTGACATTATAGTAGAATGGCAATTCAACACCTAGCTACTATATAAAACTATAAAACCATGATATAAGTTTAATATCTTATAGTTTATCATCCTCCTATCATTCATTGAAATAGAAGACAACGTTCCTTCAATATCAAAAAGTTCGATTACTTACAAGGTTTCCATAAGCCCAAAAGCCTCCAATGGCAATAGGGAAAAGGCACATGGCAATGAAGAATTAAGCAACCTTGGCTCCTCTCCGCATGGGGACATGAGCTGGGCGTTTAAATGTTGATGGCATTGTTGCCTGAAACAAGCCGCAGAAAATTACTTCGCTTAGAAAAACCAGAATGACCATTGGCTTACAAGAAATGACATCGAAACTTGTTTAACAGTGCATACCTGAATCTCTAAAACTAAATTATGGCCTCTGAATGCAAAGGCTACGATTCCAAGTGCATTCATGACAAAGAAGAAAGCAGCAGCAGAGGATGGCAGTGAGAGAGGTTCATAAGAGATTGTTGGTGGCCTTTGTTGGCTAACAGAGAGCACCCACACCACAGTGGAATAAGTGATGGCTGTCACGGCTCCTACTAGAGAGAGCCCTGCAATTGAATTAAGATTGGGCTGAGATAGGACAATGCACATTGAAGTGAACACCAGATACCACTCGACTGTCGTCAGAGGATTTGACGAACAGAGAGGACCGCAAACAATCTGGAAAAAAAAAAAAAAAAAGAAGCTATAAACCAATTCAATTTTACATGGTGTATAAATATAAAGTTTTGATTTACTTGAAATTCTCTCCTAAAATTACTTAACCAAATTCCAGTTGTATGCTGTGGACTTGACAATTCAAGAATAATAAGTTGAAAGGTCATCCCAGTTATTTAATTTTCTATGATCTCGAAGGTTACAATGGCAGAAAATAAGGAATTTATGTGAAACTGAGAGTCAAGAGCAGTTCCAAAGCAATATAACAGCATAACTTTAGCATTCGACATGAAAGTTCAGCATGAAACACAAGCTGCAATAGGATTTTACTGCTTGTAACTAGACTGCTATTAATCAAGCAGAAAAGGATTGCTTATTTTTAAAGGGAGAGTTTAGGCATCTGTTCTCACCAAAAGCTGCTTGTGCGAGCTCCACATATCTATTGTACCTCTTTCCTGGGACAGCTTCATGTAACTGAACCAGAATCCATAAGGTGTAAAGTTGCCAACAGTAGGCTATAGTTAAGGACAATATACCCCAATTCCTACACAATCAACCGCAGAAAGCAAATCAAGCTAACAGCATTTAAAAAAGTTGTCGCTTATCATTTCAATATTTTTGTTTTACCCTCCTAGTTGCTTTTGCCATTATTGCATCTACAGAGTATTGGACGAGGAGCTCTGCTCCCCAAATGAATCCCATGAACATTATTTTCAGACCAAGCCACATGTAATGGAAGATCTTATATGACAAATTCATGAACAGTGACCCATTTTAGAATTTCTTCTAAATTCTACCTAAGTTTGGTTAATCTTGTAGGTTCAAGTCAATTATCTTGGGAGGATCGAGAGTAAAAAGACCTTATTAAGCTGAACTATGGATCTTTTCTTTCCTTCATACTTAAATTTATTCTTCCATAATTTCAAAACATTAAAGGCGGCATAGTTTATTTTTGCAACATGCTTATCAGCCGATATGATCTGTCCAAAATCATGACATGGATATCACATGATGAACCAGGAAAAAGCAAAACAAGAATAGTAATAATCAATGATAAAGGGTCCCTCCAACTTAATACCATAAAAAGAATCAGAAAAAACAAGTGGACCCGACAGATCTTATTCTCTAGATATAATTCAACTTGTGAAAAATCGAAAGATGAGAAAGAAGGAAATGACTTGCCTCAAGGGCATTTGTTCATTCTTCTTTTCATTCAAACGTATGATAAATTATAGTAAAGAGGATAGTAAAGGATAATTGGGTAGGACCACACCCACATCAACTTTGGTCAAATTCCAGTGACTGCATGTAAAGGCAGAAACAGAGTGACACTGTGACAGTCTCCTTAAAGGGACCAAAGAAATTAATGTGATGCTGTGAAAAAGAGTATGTAGATTCTTTTGCTAGGTGATAAAAGCTGTGATAGCGGAAATTAACTTGCCAGAAAATGAAACAGTGTGTGAACAAAATCCAACTCCAAACTAACATATGGAAAGAAAATCATTAAACATGCAAGCTAGTATATATGAAAGAAAGGCTAGAAATGTTCATACCAGTCAAGACAAGCAAAAGCAACAGGCAAGACCAAAGCCTGGAACCCAACCCCAGCATTGAGGTTATGAAACGCAGCGTAATGAGCGTTCTCATTGCGTGATTGGGTGATGGGAAGCCAAGCTTCTTGAGGGTTAAGCTTAGTGAGATGACCTACTTCTTCCAAGTAACCTTTCATATTGGTCAAAACCCTCTTCATTGGAGTCCCTATTGGACTCAAGAAACTGGGAGATATAAATGACGTCGGAGTCCATGCTGTCGATGACTTCGCCTCCTTGGACTCCGGTCTCGGCGACCTCTGCCCTGATGGCGTCTGTATCTCCGGCGTTGACACAAGCGGCGTTGCTGGAATCGATATCAACTCTGTCTCGGGCCTCTCCTCCATGACTTGAAAATGCAAGTTAAAAATCTTCTTTCTCTTTCACGAATGACTGAGTACGAGAAGAAATAATGGAGACTTCTTAGTCGCTTTTATATTAATTTGTTCCAACTGGCTTTAGTTTTCACTCACTTTCACAGTCGACGAACGTCAAAATAACAAAAAAGAAAAAAATATAGCATCAAACTTTGCACATCTTTAATCACCACCGTTGATCAACAGAAATAAAAATAATTTAACTTTAATCCAAGTGCTAAATGATATGCGATGCTGATGGGTATGATTTTGATTGATGGGCTGAGTGCAAGTGAACATGAGAAGATACATAGCCGAGTTTTGAATACGGTTACTGAATTTGTGCGGGAGGGAGTATCGGAGCGCATTATGGACATGCTTTATTTTGATGGAAAGTGATTTCAAGTTTGCTGGTGGGATCATGGTCTTGTTCCGGATTTTGCGGTCAGTGTGGGCCAGCAATGATTCACGCGATGTCCGGCGCGTTGCTATGAAATTAACGTTGTTTTTAGCACATTTGGCGTGAAATTCTATTTTGAGTATAGGGGATGCCGGGACGGAGAGGCCCATTTTTAGTTTAACCAACCAATCTCTGTCGAACATAATCTACTAGGATCTATTTTTTGCACATGCCCGATTAGACATAGCTGTAATTAATATCTTACTATTATTTAATTTTTGTTTTTAAAAAATCTTATATAAAAAAGTCATAATTTAAAAATTAAATTAATTATATTAAAATTTTAATATTAGATTTATTTTGAATAATACTTTTAAATAAAAAATTATTTACCAATGACTTGAACTAAATACTTTGGTGCAATATATATAATTCTCTAAATACTTGAGAAAGTTGTATTTTACAAACTATTTATGAATTTATATGTGATATATATTATTATATAGATTTTATATATTATCAATAAATTAAATTACATCAATTCATTAATTTTTTTAATTAAATTTTTACATAATTATTTTACAAATTAATAAAAATTTATATTTAATAAAATTATATCATTTAATTATTAATAATATATAAAATTTACATATTAATAATTTAATAATATATCATGTAAAACTCTTTCTCCAATCCTAATTGAAGTCTCTCAAGTTTTGCTCTTTAAATGCCAAACTGCCTTCCATGATTACATGAGACTGCCTTTGACTTTCTTTTTGGCTATGATATTGGAAGGATTCAATGATTGGAGGCCGAAAAGGACAGAAACTGTGGTTAACTTTGAATAAAATGGGAACACAAAAACGAGAAGAGAAAAGTCATATTTTACCGACACAACCACGTGCCGCCGTCTCGCGTGACCCTAAATTGTTATTCAACTTCACAATTAAACGTTAATTAACCTTTTTGTTTAATAAACCATTTCTTTGGGTCTGAATCCGAATAGGAAACGTGAAGGAGCGATTACCATTACAGGCTCAACCAGCTAGCCCACAAAGCTCGCCTTGGATCACAACCAATCTAGATAATGTCCCAGGGCTCATGGGCTATATACGACTGCTGAGGATTTGTTTTGGTCAAGCAGGACAAATATGGAGTAGATGATCTGTCACGTGGAAAATTAGGAAACTAAGGCCAAGAAAATTTCTCAATAACTTCAATTTTTTTTAATGTATTTGATAATGGACTTTAAAATTCACTTGATAAATTTTTTTTAACAAAAGTATTGACTAAAATAAATAGACAAAGACTTATTTATTACTTAATGAAGAAAACATTCAATAAATTTTTTAAAATGAAACTACACATAAAAATATAAGATGATGTTTTTTAAAAATTTAATATTTTACTGTTATCAAATAATACATTTATATTAAATATTTAATTTTTATAATTTAAAATTATTAAAAATTTAGTATTTAATTTTTTGTTTATCAAATAAAACCTAAATTAAGATTAAAAAAATATATATCGGGATGTGACATCCTTTATAATTAAATTTTACTTTTATTAAATAATTATTTAATCATAAATTCAATTTAATAAAATTTAAACTCAAATATCATATAAATTAAATTATTAAAAAATTTAACAATTTCAATAACAATTTAAAAAATAAAAATATTTATTTCAATTTTTTATTTATTAAAAAAATCGATTAATTCAATCAATTTAATTATTAATTTTAAAAATAAAAAATAATTAATTTAATAAAATATCAAATAAAAAAATTAGTTATAACTAAAATTAAATAAATTATATTTTATCGATTTGGATTAATTCAATCAGTTTGAATCAATTTATGCTTACTATTATAAAGTTTATATTTATTCAAAAGTTAATTAAAAAAAAAAAAAAAAGACAGAGCAGTTTGGCAATATGTGTTGAAGAACGTGTGGGAAAGGGGTAAAGATTAAGTCTGAAAATGGTCGTACACCATCGATTTTGAGTGGCGGAAACTTTGAAAAAAAATGGGAACACAAAAAGAGAAGAGAATTGTCAGATTTTACACATCTACCACGTGTCGCCATCTCGCGTGACTCTAAATTATTATTCAACTACACAATTAAACGTTAATTAACCTTTTTGTTTGATAAACCATTTTTTTGGGTCGAATATGAAACGCGAAGGAGCGATCACCAGTATAGGCTCAACCAGCTAGCCCAGAACGGTCGCCTTGGCTCACAACCAATCTGGATAATGCCCCAGGGCTCATGGGCTATATATGACTGCTAAGGATTTGTTTTGGTCAAGCAGGACCAATATGGAGTAGATGAACTGTCACGTGGAAAATTAGGAAACTAAGGCCAAGAAATTTCTCAAATCTTCAAATTTTTTTCAATGTATTTGATAATGCACTTATTTATTACTTAATGAAGAAAACTTTTCAATAAATTTTTTTACAATGAAAATAAAGATAAAAATATAAAATGATAAATTTTTAAATTTTAATAATTTAATATTTACTGTTACCAAATAATATATTTATATTAAATATTTAATTTTATAATTTAAATTCAATATTAAAAATTTAGTATTTAATTTTTTGTTTATCAAACAAATCCTAAATTAAGATAAAAAAAGAAACTATATCGGGATGTGACTTCCACTGTGGTCAAATGTTGCCTCTCTCTTAACGCTGAATTGATTTGTTAACTTAAATAAATGATACATTAATTATGAATTTAATTAATAGCAACAACCAGGGACCTATGATTAAGACCGAAAAAAATAATAATAATAATATTTATAAGTCAAAACCATATTGTGGGAGGTTGGCATTTTGCCATTAGCGGCTGACGTATGCACTTACGTTACTCACTACATTGCTTTTGAAAAGGGCTCTTCAATTATGAATGCCATTCTATTTTTTTTATTATAAAAGAAGTAGCAGTAAGAGAATAAGAAAATTTATGGAATGATCAAAGAAATATCACATTGTAACACCAAAAAATATTATAAAAAATTGAATGTTTGCCTGAGAATAGGATAAAAAGTTATTTTCCTTGCATTAAAAATGTCAAACGCATTGAATTCATACATATTAAATAACACAATAACATTATAGTGTGATGAAAATCTTTCTTGCCTCCAAAGAAACTTAAAACAAATGACTAGATTGGAACATTGCATGCTAAATAAATGACAAACTTCTAACTCAAACTTTTAATCTAACTGGGGCAGGGTTGAAATTCAAAACTTGAATACCATAGTACTATTTTTTTTTTTTTTGGTTAAAGAAAATTGTAATGAAAAGATAAAACAAAAAATCATGTGTTGGGAATTGAATTTTAAATTTGTTAAATATAATTTTTAAGAATTATTGTATTAAATTAAATTAAATTATAGCATTTATTATTAAGAATAAATATTAAAAGCATTTAAGATTATTTTTAATGTATAAAATAATAGATAAGATCAAATAATAATTATTTTATATCAAATTTGATTATATTTAAAAAAAATTTTAAATTTAAAAAAGATTAAATATCATGTTGGTATAAAATGATTAAATCATTCCAAAATAAAATTATTATTTTTAATTTATAAAATTAAAGTTATATATCTTATTATATTTTAAAAAATTATGCTAATAATTTAAAATTTATAAACTAAAAAAAATTTAATCAATAAATAAAATTATCTTATTATAATTTTTATATATTTTAAATAAAAACATTATATATTTATTTTTAATATTATTCATAATATTATTTTATCAATTTTATCACATTGCATATACCATAATTTCGGAATAATGATTATTATCTTTCAACCGATGAGGAGGACCCTGTACTTGCCGGACTTTGAAGGGAAAAAGAGACTCGGTGCAGCTGAAATGCCCCAAATATACTCAAATATTGAAGGGTTTATCCGAATTTTAGGGTTGTTGTTGTCTTTTGGCCAGTTGAAATTTCCATAGTGGTTGGATCTGGTAGGAGGGAGGAAAGTTTCAGGAAGCAACGTCACTTCTCACCAAAAAAGAATAAAAAAAAGGAAAAAACACCATTGGTAGTCAAAGTCAACATGCGTGACGGAAAGAGATTGGGTGTTAAAAATACCCTCCATCTTGCAACAAATTTACACCATGAACCTCAAAGGAACCGCAGCCAAATAGTTATATAGAGGCAATCTCGTAAATATGGAAACAAACAAGTCTACTGTTGGAGTGTAAAAAATAGCCGCCGTCTCTTATAATCCCCTACCCTTCTGGCTCACCTCATTTTTGAATTTCAGCCTCCCAAAAATCCTCGCCCCGAAGGCCCTTCTCCGACGCCAGAGCCCCGTTCTCTTCTCCGAAGAGCCAACAAAGCTCAGGACTCTCCTCTCTGTCTTCCGAGAACGCATCGCACTTTGCTACCGAATTGCAAAATCGCTTCCCTTTCTCTACCGCTTGCCTAGCCTACCTTTCCAATTCACCGCTCTCGTCTCTCCTTCACTGATCGCGTACTCGAAAATGGCTTTCATTTGCTTTTAGGGTTTCTCAGATCAACCCTTTTAGTTTCCGAACCCAATCTGTACCAAATCTTAATTTACCTTATCCAATTCTTCAACATGGCTATTCGCGTTACCTTCACTTACTCCAGCTACTTTGCCCAGAACCTAGCCTCCACCGCCGGCGTTCGTCTCGGGTCTTGCTCGTCTCGATCCATTCACGAATGCTGGCTCCGTTCCCGTTTCCTTTCCCCCAACAAAAATTCCGACATCGACCCTTCTCCTCCCCGTACCTACCACGCCTCCGCCGCCGATCTTCGCCACCGGAGGTCGAACTTGTATTCTTCCCTTGCCGGAGAGATCCTCAAAGACGGTTGTAATAACCCGATTATCGTTGGTTTGATCTCGTTGATGAAGTCAACGGCCCACGGTTCTTGTTCCTCGGCTACCACTATGGGAGTTTCGCCTTTTAAAGCCGCTTCGATTATCCCTTTCTTGCAGGGATCGAAGTGGCTGCCGTGTAATGAACCGGCTCCTGTCGAACCGGAGAGTAGTGAGGTAGATAGAGGAGGAACAAGCAATGATGATCGAAGTTTGAGCTTGGAGTTGGATCCCAAAAAGTTTGGTACAAGCAGTTGGATTTCAAGGTTGTTAAATACTTGCTCCGAAGATGCCAAGGCTGTTTTTACTGCTGTAACTGTTAGTATACTTTTCCGGTCGTTTTTAGCTGAGCCAAGGTCAATTCCTTCAACTTCTATGTACCCTACACTTGATGTTGGCGATCGCATTTTGGCTGAGAAGGTAAATTTTCTTTTCCTATCACCTTAATAGACAGTAAAATTGAGATTCTATGTTTAATTTTGTTTCTTTTTCTGATATCAACAGGTTTCATATTTCTTTAGAAAGCCTGAAGTTTCCGATATAGTTATATTCAGGGCACCTCCTATCTTGCAGGTTGGTGTTAAAGTTTGCTTTTTAAAGCTCTTTGTTTAATAGTTTGCATCAATTTATAGTTGTTGATGGTTTTATTTCAATATGTAGGAAAAATGTTGCAGTTCAGGCGATGTTTTCATTAAAAGAATAGTGGCGAAGGCTGGAGACTGTGTTGAAGTAAGCTCTTAAGATTACGTAATTCATTCTGTTTAAGCTATAAGGTCTTTATTCATCTTTTTCATTTGTTTTTCCCGTCTGTAAAATTCATAATTGTTCACCATTTCTAACTGTCCATTTTGAATTTGTGGTAGGTTCGTGATGGAAAGCTGTTAATAAATGGTGTTGCTCAAGATGAAAATTTTGTTCTAGAGCCATTAGCTTATGAAATGGAACCAGTGGTTAGTGTCTTATTTCTGACTTTTGTTGTTTATTCATTTGTATATTGCACATTATTCGTCTCTATTTGTTTCTGCGGTTCTTTGTCATGCTTGTTACATGGTCACTTGACTATCACATTGGTTATCGGAGTTTATGAATTTTTTATTTTTTATTTTGGTGATTTTGTAGGTTGTACCTGAAGGCTGTGTTTTCGTGTTGGGAGATAATCGCAATAACAGTTTTGATTCGCATGACTGGTAATTCTAAAATTTCATTTCCTCTAATTAGTATTTGGTTTAGGAATGGATTGGAGAAGCTGTGAAAGCAAAATATTGACGTTTAACATTTTTTTTCAACCTCACAAACAGAATCTATAATTAGCGTCACTTTTTGTTTTGTGAATGTCATCTCTTATTTCTGACAACTTGTTTCCAATTACCTTCGTTTTCAGGGGTCCACTTCCCATCGAAAACATTGTTGGTAGATCTGTATTTCGCTATTGGCCCCCATCCAAAGTTTCAGATACTATACATGATCCATATGTGGGGAAGAATGCTGTAGCAGTTTCTTGACATCTAAGATAACTTAGATTTGCATCCACTGAGGTGGCTTATATTGATCATCGTTGAATACCCAATTCTATTTTCATGTCCCTGGACATGGTTTAGGATGGATAATCAATTCATCATATCTATTTGTGTGTATCTTCCGTTGATGGCCAACTTTTGGCCACTTATCACGAAAAGAAAACTGAAGAACATCTCCGTAATGTTGCTTTTTCTCATTTTGTGCTTATATCATTCCTATTGCATGCTAGAAAGTGGGCTTCCCTTATGAACTGAACCGCATTGAGAATCCGAGTTCCAAAGTCTTAAGGTGGTTGATAGCAAAGATTCGTGATTGGTTAGCATGAAGCAGGTGTATTCTGTCAGATTTGGTGGTTGAAAAAGAGAAGCTGTGATTGTTTGACATGAAGCTGGTGTATTCTGTCTGACTTGATGGTTGAAGCAAGGGGAAACTGGAGCTTGGAGGCAGTATTTGTACTGGCAGATTCTCAATCGGTTGAAAGGACAGGCCATTGATTTTCAACAAACATGCTTAAGACCTGTGAATCTGAAAATGTTTAGTCGTCTTCAATTAATGTATTCCGACAAAACTTTTTGCTGGATGATTCATGCCTGTCTTATTTCAATGTTTGAACTTTATATTCATATGTAATAAAATCAAATTTGATAATCCACATTCTTGCCCTGTTTCCTTTTTCTACAACGAATCCACCTTAGCAATCAGATTGAATTTTATGTACAATAAGATTCTTGGCAAGAGGGAGGGGAGAGAAAAAGGAGAGAGAGAAAGCAAATTATGTACTCTTGTGATGCTTATTATTATTGAACAAATATTAAGAATCATTCTAATCGAATGAGTAACGATTGAGCAAAGCATTTTCTTTTTTCACTTTCGAGAATGATTGAATTATATCAAGGTAAAGTGATAGATTCTCAACTTTTTGTTTCTTCGTATAGAGCGAGGGAGAATAATTTTTTTTCTCCACTTTTTTTTTCCACAATACTTCATTTCATTTTTGTTTTTCCTACATTAGAGTATTTATAATTTATTTTTAATTGAATTAATCATTCGAATTGATATGATTCGATTAATTAATCAGTTATTAAATTAATTTTAATCAATTAATAAAAATGATTTAAAAAATTTAGATTTTTAATTAATTTATTCAAAAATTGAATTAACTAAAATTTTAATCAAAATATAATAAAATTAAAATAAAAAATAAAAAATATATAGCATAGATGATTTTATTTTATAAGTTGTTAAAAATATTAATATAATATTTTAATATTTTAATAGATAAATTTATTTAATTTGTTAAAATATAAAAAATTTTAAATTCAAAATATAATTTAACTTAAATATATTTATTATTTGATTAATAAATAATTAATATAATTAATAAAATTAAATTTGACCGATTAATTTTTAAAATTAATAAATTTAAATCAATTCATAAAAATAAAATAAAATAAAATAATTTAATTAATTTAATTTTAAATTCATCAAACCAATCAAGTTAACACTCGCATCGCTCACAATGCAATTGCACAATTATCACGAATCTTTTCCTCGAAAAAAAAAAAAGGAGGACCACGTTCACGTGGTATTTTGGAAACCCTTTAGCAGGTACATACGAATGTTCGTAGGGACTAACCCCATCAAATTCCATCCACCCACTACGTGGCTATTAAATCATTGCCAACTAAGATTTGTGTCACAAGCCCATAACGGTCATTTCATCTTCTTAATCCCGTGGGTGATAGGAAACAACGTTGTCCAAAGCGAGCGAGTTGAGTGAGTGACTCATCTGATACTCTACGATCCGGTGCACACCGTCGAAGCACCACCACCAACAAGCGCCACGATGGCGAGCCTCCGTTTCCTCTTGTTTCTCCTTTTCTTCCTTCTCTCTCATATCTCATCCCTCGCTTTGAACCCTCTTCAATCAAGCCATCCCCAAATCTTACAGGTATAAAAATACAACCTAATAGTAATAACAATCAAGTTCTTGATTTTCATTAATCTTCGTGTTCTTTTTTTGAATTAGGATGTAATCGAGAAGATTGCTTTGAAGCAGAAATGGGAGTTGGAAGGGCTTAACTTTTCGAAACTGGAAGTGAGCAAGGCGAGGTTTGGGGCTGGCAAAAGGTACGAGTTTCGGATCCGATTTGGAAAGACTCATTTACTCTTCAAATTCCCCGACCAAGTACCTTCGTTGAACAAGTTCACCACAGGAAGTGGCGGCGATTTCCTTGATTTTGTGAACGAAATTAATTCCTCGGCCCTACTCGATTCCTTTAAATTGGAAGGTCCCTTCGAGTTAATCCTCGCTCCCAATCACCAAGCCTCCCTCCTCTTGCCGGTATTTCCCCTTGTTTACTTTGATCTTTTGATTTCTTCGTTAATTTGTTGTAAAAAAAGTTTTTTTTTATTAATCTGTAATTAATAACCATATTATCAACAATAAATATATTAGGAGATTTAGTATTAGAATTTAGAGCAAATTTCGTACTGTTATTGTAGATTAATTAATGTTTGATTAGTATTATGCACTTTGTTAATTTAATTGGACATTGCCAATGTTTATCATTTACTGCTAGTATAGTAGTCTGATGCTTTGGTCTTTGGTCATCAGCTGAACATATCACATACCGATCTGAAACGGGTCCTTGTTGGTGAAGGCATCACTGTACAAGTAAGTCAAGCTCAAGAGATTTCTCTTTTCCATACGTTTAATTTTGGCTTACCGGGGAATGAAAGTGATGTCAAGGAGAAGAACAGTGGATATTGGCCCGTCCGGCATTCCATCTGTATGCCATTCCTTCCTGTGCATGTTTTAGGGTCGGTATCTCTTGTTGCCTACCGGACTCAAAACCCTCATGCCCACATTGAAGCTCTTTTCCCATCCAAGGATACTATTGAGCTGCTTCCTGAAAAGTGTTATGGCAATCGTGCTTACATGAAACAATCTTGCCCTATAGATTCGATAAGTTTGAGGATAACCAAGCCACAAAAGGTCCTTAGGACCTTTCTAGGTGACAATCAAAATGGGGTTTTAGGTTCTCTTAATGTCAAAACTAAAGTGTCACCCATTATTTGTTTCCAGTTAGAGCTGGAAAAAAACATTGGGAAGAATGAGAGTGTTCGTGGTATGTTGCCTGAATGGAGGACAAAGCCAACTGTTGAACGAGTTTGGTTTGATGTAATGGCAAGAGTTGAAGCAGAGAAATTGAAGCCCCTAACAATCAAGAAGGTTAGACCTTTTGTTGGTGTAGATACGGTCTCATGGAGTAATTTATTGTCAAACATTTCTTTTACAAAGTTCCCATCTTTACTTGTCCCTTCTGAGGCTTTGACGCTGGATGTCAAATGGTAGTAGAAAACCTTGTAAGATGGTTTTGTCACAGGTGAAATTTACAGATCATCCTCGGTTGATGGGCATATATCATATGCATGTCAATTATGTAGAAGGCATCTTTGATTGGTTCTGTAAATAATACTTACAAAAAAAGAAAGCAGTTGTGAAAGAACTTCCACTCATTTGCATTTGCTTTAGCTCCTTTACTGCACAATAACAGCAATATTAGGGTCTCTGTTTCTTTTTAACTTGTATTGTAGGCAAGCCAAGCTTCTAATTTTAGGCAGAGATGGGCCTCAACCTGTTTGTTCAGAGATGCTTCTGCGTCCCTTCCCCCAATTATCTTGTATTTATAAAAATTAACTCAAATCATACTTTGGATTGGTCATTCTTATATTTTCTGTTTTTAGATACCTGATGACTTTCAATCATTAGAAACTGATGCATTTTAGAAATCATTCTGCAACTCGTGAGAAAAACTTGTCCCCACGTCTTCATAGTGTCATGTAATCTTGGTTCGTATGGATTGGAACTTACTGGAAATTAGTTTGATCGGATCACATTTAATCCACGTTTGCATGCTTAGATCTGTGCCCTCATTGGTGGGGCTAATTGAATCATACCTATGGTTGTTTATTTTAAAGCTAGGCAGGCAGTGGAGATAGAGGTATAATCAATTGAGTTCGAGCCAATACAACATTAAGTTCGAACTTGACTCCAAATTCAAGATTTGAAACTCGGCTTGAATTTAATTAAGTTTTATTTTTTTAATTCAAATTCGATTTGAGATAAAAATCAAGTTATTCAAGCTTATTCGATTAGATTTGATTAATATGTAAAATAAACTTGTTTCTTATATGTGACAAATGCTTAATTATTTGTGTTAAAGTTTGAGTTTGAAATATTTTATTAATTAAAATAATTAAAATATATTAAAATATAAAAATTTTATTAAACTCACGAGTTATTCAAATTGAATATAAGAATGTTCGAATTTAATTTGATCGATAAGTAGAGTTATTCGGACGAGTTATTCAAATTAAATATAAGAATGTTCGAATTCAATTTGATCGATAAGTAGAGTTATTCGTCTTGGTTATTCGACTTGATTCGATAATAATTAAGTTAAATTTAAGTTTTATTCAAATAAAATTTGAATGATTCGATAATAATTAAGTTAAATTTAAGTTTTATTCAAATAAAATTTGAATAAATCTACGAGTATTAATATATTATTTACATTTAGTGAAAAGTTTTTTTGTTATATGGAGATCCTATTTCCTATAGCAAAGAGGGACCAAGCGCACGGGACAGGACTATGCAGTGACAGTAGATGAGTCTTAATCAACATCGAAAACATTGATTTTATTCATGTAAATCGCTTGTACTCGTTACAGATGCTTAAAACATCAATATAGGCACAACTGCAGCAGGAAATATCTGTGGACATAACGATCATAAACTCTCATCTCTAAGCTTTCTCTTAGCGTTCAGCATTACCATCAGTAAAATTTTCTTGCTTCATTTTCACGTTCTTATATTTGTACCAAGATGCACACACCAAATAAATAACAAAGTTAACAGCACTCAACGTTGATAATAACCAGTAGAAGTAGTTCAACTTGTCTCTGTTCACGTTGCTAGAAGCCAACCAACCCCCGCTGGCCCTGTTTACCACCTCCACCACTAGTGAGCTTATAAAGTACCCAAATGCGAGTGAAAACCATGAGATGGCTGTGCTTGTTCCCTTCATTCTAGCTGAGCTCTCCGCATGGTAGAACTCTAGCAGCCCGACCAATGTGAACATATCAGCCAATCCAAATACAGCATATTGGAATCCAAGCCAAAACACGCTCATTGGCAGAGGGTCGTTAGAATCTACCATGTTGTTTTTAACAGCCACAGATTTACGCCGGGTTTCCATGAGTGCAGAAATTGCCATGGAAATGGTTGACAGCACCAATCCAACTCCAACTCGCTGAAGATATCGGATTCCTGTTGGAATTCCTGTTACTTTTCGGGCAAGTGGAACAAAAATGCGGTCATAAATTGGAATAAAAATGAAGTTAAACACCATAGGTATGACAGGGAGGGAGGCAGCGGGGATCTTAAAACCAAAGATACGAGTATCCATGGTCATGCTTTGTCGTACGGAGAAAGTTTGGAGTTGAGCCAAACAAGTATTTATGAAAACAGTACTAAGTACAATTGGGAGCATGCGAAGTAGAATCTTTGTTTCTTCAACTTGGGTCACTGTATTAAGCCTCCAGGGTCCTGGAGTCATTATTGGTGATGCACCCCGAGAGGTAATATGAACTGCTGCTCGATCCAAAAACCTGTGAATTTGATGATGTATTTACGTGAGAGCTAGTTAATTCAGACAAAATAAACTTGAGAAATTAAACTGTGTACCTAAATTGATTGGTTCTCTGAAGAATTTCATTGGGCATCACAACTGTCCCTTTGTCATAAATCTCATATAATTCATCTTCCTTCTTTGGTAATGGAAGATCTCGGTTGCGGATGGCAGAGACTAATACCTTGAAAGAGGAAAAGGTGGCCATGATTCATGAACTCCCCTCATTTTCACATGGAGAATAGTACTATTTATTATGATGGAAAAACAACATAAGATTCAATTTGGTAACCCAACTTACCTGTATGATACGAATTATAGAGCTTCCTTTAGGCGCATTTTTCCTATAAAATGGCTTGCCAATGCACAAAAACACAATTGCCAGCAAGACTGCTATAGTGCACACCCCAAACGCCCAATCCCAACCCTTGTTAGAACTTATCCATACAACAAAAGTTACTCCGGCTATAGATCCACCGGTCATGCTAAATACGAACCAGTTGAAAAAGCTTGAAAGTTGAGCTGCCTCTTTAGGGTCCTTGCTGTCGAACTGGTCAGCTCCCAGTAATGGCAAAGCCCCCTTAACCCCGCTGGTTCCTAGCGCCACCAGGTATATACCAGTGTAAAGAATTGCTGCTTGGCCGGTATTTGCAGCCTCGCATTGTTTTGAAACATCCGTGCAAGGAGTTGGCCTCAGTTGATCGAAGTGTGCTTGTACTGTCAGCAGCGCATATCCCTGCAAATTTGTGAGAATCAGGCAAAATCTTGTCAGATCATGTGACTTCAATTGTTGAATTATCTAATTAAGATGAGCTGCTATTTGCTAAAACGAGGCTTTTCCCAACGTCTCAAATAATATATGGATTATTACAGACATGTGATCTATTGATAGAGTATTGAACTATTAATTTCAATATTCAATCAATCTCAAACATAAAAAAATACATTAATTATAGCCAACTTCCGTGGAAGAGATAGTATGGACTATCAATTAAGCAAAGTTCTGAAAAGAGCCATTGTTAAATTGTGATTGGTGACACATGCATGCAATTCTGAACTAAAGCATTGTTTGCAAGAGACCATGTGGAAACAGGCAAGCGGCACATGGATTATTGTTAAAATATGCATGGAACAATACTAAAGATTGGGTTTTGTCAACTGTTTTCCTTTCTTTTCGGAGTGTTGAAATCATAATTATCTTCTTTTCTCGTACTATATCTTCTTTGAAAGAATCATATTATTCTCTTTAAATATTAAATAATAGATAATGCTAAATACAAATAATTAAGAAAACATATATGCAAATACATGTATTGTTTTTGAATACATATTTACGAATCAAAAGGAGCCAAAATGCACTGTCATTGTCAAAAGGTTATATTTTATGTAGATTAGTTATTTGCTTTATTTTATTGGGGATCAAAAATTAAAGAACAAAAGAGGATTAGCGAATCATGCAAACGCTATGAAACTCCTGTCCACTATGTCTCATACAGACCTTAATCATATATATGTAGTAGATTTTGTTCCTTTCATCAAATTGCTGCTTCTGTAATTTGCCAAGTTATTGTCTCTACTGGCAAATGGCCACTGGCTGGGGGAATATTTATCACAGAGCAATGGTTTTCTTAATTAACATGAACAAACAGAAAGAGGCTATATAATTAGAAATTAATACAGTTTCATTTCATGGTCATTTATTTATGTCATCACAAGCATACCATTGATCTGTTCTATGCTTTAAAGGTGTGAATAACATTTTTATGATGTCATGGATTTAATCACTAAGAGAAAATGGTAGTGCCATGTTTAAATTAAAGAGATTTTTTTTTTTTGGGGGGGGGGGGTTTAAATCAATATCATATATCTATACGTGGAGTACATAATCTTATAATTTTTACTAATTATAGAGTTTAAGCAATAACTTTTCCCATTAGTAGCAATGATCAATCTCAACATTTTCTTTAATTTTTTTGATATAATTACTTTCAAGCAACAAGTTGAAACACATTAAAACATATATATGGAAAAGATTTTAGAGTAAAAATCTCTCCCCATCTTTTTGTTCTTATAATGATTTGGAACCCTAAATTAAGCTATAATGTTGAAACAATAAGGTTTTTCCTCAGTAATTAACTGGATTTAATCCTTAATTGAGTGGAATTAGCTCTTGTTTGAAACTTTGGATGAAGAAAATGGAATAAAAATTTTTTTTTTATGTGTTCACCAATAAAATTACATAAATATAATTTCAATATAACAGATAAAGGTGAGGATGGATATGATAAATAACGTACCAGCAATTCTATGATTCCAAACAAGACACAGGTTGTGAATCTTGTCAAATAGCTATCAGCGATGACTCCTCCTATGATTGCTAATATGAAAGAGGTTCCCATGAAGTTTGTAACTGTGTTTGCAGATTTTGTCAAGCTGAAGTTCATGTAACCCATAAAGTAGGTGACAAGGCTCACTGCATTAGCAATAAACGCCATGTTCTCCAGTGCCTCCATCACTACATGAGATGAATTCTCTCGCAATCAGAAGCAATTAATTAAACCATTCTTATCCATCATACTCTCAAATTAGAAGAAATATCATTTAAAGAAGGTTAGGGAAATATCATGGTTAATTACCATAGACGAAAAGTACAGCTTTAGTTCCTCCTACCCTTGAGTCTTGCTTTGGTTGCGGTTCCTCATCTCTACTGATTTCCTGTTTGCAGTGCCACAAAAACTGATTAGCTAAGAGAAAGGTGAGAGAAAGAATAAAGAAGGTTGGTGGCTCAGCATCTCCACATTTCGTTCATGATTCATGAAAGAGAGATCTGCAGGCTAATTGCACACCAATTTTCTCGAGCGTTTTTGAAGAACATCTTGAAATTTAAATGAGGAAACATTTACCATTTCGTTCAGAGAGCTTGGTTTCTTCTTTATTTCTTTCTTCGAGGATGCAAAAGAAAACGTTGCTTCTGGTCAGTGTCCGGTGGTACACAACACATCAAACCCTATGAATATATATATATACAAGCACACCAATCCCTGCTTTTCCCCTCTCTCTTGGGACAACGACCTCTCTATCTGTAATATACCTGCTAATTTTAAAACTCAACTTGGTTCAAAACCTATATTTTATAGCGCATATTATTTCAGACATGACAAGAATCATTACTTGGTAAGTTATTACTTTATTGCTATATGTACCATAATTAAAAAGTTAGCTAGTATTCATGTATCCTGTCAAAGCAACATATATATATATATATATATATGATTTGTTTGAAGTGTTATTCAATAATATATTAAATCAAAATCAAAGCCTTTCATATACATCACATTGTTATCTTTAAGTAAATCTTTATTCTTTAACAAGAGAAACAACAAGGAAACAAGTGGCATCTAGTTGTACAAGTTACTAATTTTCTGGCTTTCTCCCAATTCCCAAATATGAACGCTCTCATGAATGTACTTCACTTTATTAATTTGTTGACTCGATGATACAGAGATATTCCAATGGGCGATGATCTGGATCCAGTGCCACTCTATCTTCTTTTTAAACTCTTTTTTCGGCTCAGCTTTGTACTTGTTTCATTTGTTAACTTGTAATCCTCCAATCACCTTTTTTTCTTTTGGGCTTTTAACTCGTTTTTAATCCTCCAATAATCTTTTTGCCATTTAATCTAATGCCCATTTCCTCGCCTTGTTTTATTCTTGAACGAAGAAATTGAGGTTTTGAAGTGAAGTTTCCTTTCTGGCCAAAAAAAAAAAAAAAGAAAAAAAGTTTCCCTGATACATTGAAAATTTTTAAACAAAAAATTAATAAACTTGAATATAATTTTTAGATAAATATTTTTATTAATTTTAATATAAATTTTACCGTTAAATAATAATTATTTTTAATAATTTTTATACATATTATTTATATCTCATTAATTTTATCAATCTGTAAATTTTCATTTGAATGTTTCTAATAAAAAACTTCAACTATTTCTCTTAAAAAATCCACTTAAATCTTGCACGAATGAAAGAGTTAATATAAAATTGCACATGCAGCACCCATCTCAAAAACACTTTGATAGAGAACTAGGATTAAATGAATAAGAGTATTATTATCATCTCAACATGTGCTAACTTGTCCACTTCCTTAATTTTCACCCTTTTTTTTTCTAATTATTTTTGTTTCATCAAATACAAGTTTCTTCAATAATTTAAAGAGATTTTAGTCTTTTAGAAGGGCTTTTTTGAATTTCTATAATAAGAAAAATGTTTATATTTGAGAATCCCTAAACCTAGGGGTTACCATTCTTAGAACTAACATGTTTCTTAGAATACCCATTTTCATGGAGCTCTTATGCACCGCATAGATACCTAAATTCACCACTCGACGCTGCCAATAGCCAGTAAAAATGGTTGAGTTTGTCTCTGTTCAAATTGTTATTAGCCAGCCATCCACCACTGACCTTTGTTCACCACCTCCACCACCACCACCTAGCTCAAGAAGTAACCAAAAGGAAATGAGCACCATGAGATGCATGGCTGTGCTCAGTGACTTCATCCCTGCTGAACTCTCAGCATAGAAGAATTCCAGTAGCCCAAACAATTTGAACATATCATCCAATCCAAATAGATAGAATATTGGTATCCAAGCCAAAACACACTCATTGGCAGAGGCTGAATAGAATATACCATGTTGTTTTGAATGGATACCGATTTGCATCCTGTTTCTACAATTCCAGCAACTGCCATGGAAGTGGCAGAGAGAACCAATCCAACCCCAATTCTTTGAAGATATCGAATTCCAGAAGGGATTCCAGTTATTTTTCGAGCAATTAGGACGAAAATGCAGTCATAAGTTGGGAAAAAAATGAACACGAATATAACCTGGATGGAGGGACCAGACATCTTAAAACCAAGGATACGAGTGTCCATGGTTGTGTTTTGTTGGATGGTGAAAGTTTGGAGTTGAGCTAAACAAGTATTCATGAAAACAGTGATGAATATAATTGGAAGCATCCAAATTAGTATATATGTAACCTTTTAATTTAAATTAAAAGCTGGATCTCTTGATTGATCCTTTTATTCAAATAGTATGTCATTTTTTTTTCTCTGCTCTTCACACAAAGAATGTTAATGGATTAGATATAACGATGGTAGAGTATTTTTCATTTCTAAATTTTTATATTATATTTATTTTCATATTCATAGCCAATAGATATTCTAAGTCTATTTTCATCTCACAATTATTTAATGGATAGTAATAATTCTCATATGTATAATTTTTTTTAAAAAAATAAAAACTAAAATTTAGTTTTTTAGATTTCTTATTTTTATTTTGTATATTTAAGTAATTTTTTATAAATATATATTAATATATTTTTTTAAAAAAATATTTTAATTTTAATAAATTTAAAATAATAATTTATATTATTTAATAAAAAAATTATCTACTAAATATATATAAATTTTATTTAAGATACGAGTATGAAATGAATGTTTTCATTCTTATACTAAAAAATAATTTAAAATTATATTCATTCACATTCTTATTCTCATGCTCATATTACAATACTCAATCTAATTTCTATTCATATAAAAAATCAAATACCTTATTAAATATGAACAAAATTGATATCTTATATTCAGATTCAACAGGCATTACGGTCCACAACAATCACATGCTCCTCCTTTAACATCAAAATTCTCAGTTTTTACCATTGATGATGTTCCTCCTTCAAAATGGCCCTCAAGATTTCAAGAATTCCTAGGCATGGAGACTTGTTGAATGAATTCTCATCCCAATGTTACGATGAACACAGTTTTGATCAGATTTGTTTTGCAGACTAGTTGGAACCGCTGAAAATTTTGGGACAACATTGGTGAATATAGACAACTCCAGTTTCTTTGCAATGCGCAACCATATCACAGACCTGTCCTCTCAATTGCAGCAATCTTTTGTGACAAGAAACTCACAAATTTAGAAAAGATAAGAGAGCAATTCTTCAGAACTCAATATGCTGTTCTCTCCATCAAAAGACCTTGAAGCAGACACTATCAATAATTCTCCCAATATTTCTACATACTTGGTGGATTCGATGATGTCAACTTAAAGCAAGCATTTCTTAATTCTGTTCCAGAAGAACTTGCCCAGCAAACAAGAACCCAGTTGAACCTCAGATCCCTTGATGTCAAATCTATGACCCTTGGAGACATCTACAAGATGATGCTAAAAGCCCTTGATAAGATTTACAAAGAGCACAAATACATCAAAACCTTGGTGCACAACTCCAAAAAGCTTGAAAAACCCTGTTCTTACTCCTCCTCAGGCTTACAAATCAAATGTTCTTCCAAAGATCCCACATGTTTTTATAGTAACAAGAAAAAGAAACATTTTAGAAGATTCAGACCTTCCAGACCTCCACAAATCTCCAGACCCAGACACAAGAAATATTTGACGTTTTGTATCTGTCCTGTGGATGTATACCTAGTTGCCAAAATCTTGCCTTGAGATCAAACTTTGAGAAGACTTTTGCATTTGCTAAATTTACGAACAAAGTTTTTCTGTCTGGAAGAGGGAACTTATCATCTGCAAGAAAAATGTTAAGAGGCTTGTAGTTGATTACCAATCTGAGTTTTCCACGAACTTGTTCTGAACGTTTGTTGACATAAAACGCTTCACACGCCCATGGAGAGGAGGTTGGTTCAATTAATCCTTGAGCTTGGAGAAGGGAACATTCTTGGATTGCTTGCTTGAAATGATCTGGGTTCATGCCTGAATGACTAGCTTTTGTAGGATTGGTATTTTCATCTTTCTTGAAGGGAAGGGAAATGAAAAATTCAGGGTTTTGCCAAAGTGGGTGATCACATTTCTGGAGGAAATCTGAGTGAGTTTCTGCACATGAAAAGTGAATGAACTTGTGTTTGAAATTTTGAAAAACATCTGGTTGAAGGGTAAGGGTAAAGAGGTTGGGAAGGTTTTTCCAAGGTCTGAAATAACTTTCAAATTTGATACCATTTCCACTAAGCTTTAAACCTGGTATACTGGTTATAATATCGAAACCAATAACAAGGTCTTTCTGGGGAAGTGGAGATCCTAAAATCTTTTGAGTTATTCGACATCCTGGAAAGATTTGAAGGGTAACAGGGTTGCTGATAAAGTCTGTAGAAAATACATTTTCATCAGCGGTTTTGAAGAAGGTTTTTTGTTTTGTCCAAAAGTGTTTGGGTAAGACAAGAGGGTTTGCTATGGTTTGGGCTGCACCAGTATCAAAGAAAGCTGTGACTGTTATAGGAGGGGAATGTTTGTGAGTGAAAATCTGAACTGGAGCTAAGGGTAATTTTGGAGGTTGAATGGTTTGGATTTTTTGGAGTTCTTGAACTGACATATACTCATAACATTGATCATCTGTGAAATCATCTGTGAAATCATCTGAGTATTCTGAGTAATCTGGATCTGCATACTCATCATCATCAAACTGTTTAATCATAAACAGTGATCTTTCATTCTGCTCATCATCAAGGGAGAAAATTGATTCAAGATCATCATCTGAAAGACTGAAACCTGAAATATTGGCAATGTCTTGAATCATCTTGACTGATTTTTTGTCTGACTTTGGGCAATTCTTTAAGAAATGTCCTGATTTTTCATAGAGAAAACATTTTGAGCTACATCATTAATGAATGTCAGAAAGTTTAAAAATTAAAACCAATCTCCTTGGGTTAGGCACAAGTAATTTGAGATTCAGAATAAAGTTTTTGTCATGGCCATTAATGTCAACTGACCCAAGCCTAGCCCTCATGCTTGAAAAATGTATAGAATTTCAGTTTCTTATGCTCTTCATTAACGCCCAATGGAGTCTGGAACTGGTATAGGGCTAAGGTATAGAGTGGGTACCAGACAACAACTGCCAAGATATGTCAGTTCTACACAAAAAAAAGCTATGTTCTACCCTCTTATTTTTTTATTAAAATTATATTTAATATTTTAAATATAAAATTTCATAAATTCATTTAAAAATTTTACAAATTTGACTTAGAAAATTTCGTTTCGTCTCGACCTTTTCCATAATGAAACGAAAGTAACGAGGGAGGGAGAACACATACATACTACATTCTAGATATAGCGCGGTCGGCCACACTACATCTACTTTCGGTTCTTTCTTGCTGCTATTATCCAGCCAGTACTAAGAGAGATTAATTAATTCATTAATTGAGGTTTACCAAATTAAAAAAATAATTAATTGAGGTCATTGTCCCCACGCATTGCATGGCCTTCACGTGGCTGCTGCCAAATATTAAATCTTTTGATTATAGCTATATTTGCCAAATCCGCCTCTCTTTATCTTCAACATTAACAAGCTGATCACCCCATCCTGAAGTTCATGGAATACTAGAGTTTATTAATCAGGGTATGGAAACAGGTTAATTCATGATAAGAGGTTGAAAGTGTTGGGAATGAGAACCCCAATAATCTTAGCTTTATCGCCTAAAAGAGGGGTCATTCAATTATTGAAAAAGTTAAAAGATGAATTTCAGTGTGATCTGACCTGTTAGTCGGTGCTTGGTCTCTTCTTTCTTACTGGTTTTTGATTTCATTAAAGGATAAAAAAGCTTTGATTTGACACAACATTTATCCACACCAATTAGATTAGATACACAAACCTTTTTAACAGCAAGATGTCGTGGCCCTTCATCTTTTGTGCAGATAAGGGACCCAGCAAGGTTTTTAGTGTTCATTCTTCAAGGGGTGTGTGGGCATAAATGAAATTTCAGACAAATCAGGAACACTTGCATGGCAATGGCATAAATGCTATTTTCAGAGAAACGAAAGCTAAATTCGACAAAAGCACACTGAAAGATACTTGATGGAATGCAAGAAAAGGTAAATAACAGCCACGCGCTCTGCCCATCTCCTCGAAACACCCACGGAGTCACAAAACTTGAATGTAATCCAAATTCCAAATTCCAAACTCCCTTCCCTCCTCTTCTCTCTTATCTCTGTATTTCAAAGTTTTGTTTTAAAATAATAATTCAAAAAAAAAAAGTAAGTGATCTGAACTTGAACTGGGTTTTTGTTTAATATTTCCCATTATCGGAACAAAACAAAAGGTACTTTCTTTAATCATTTAGGTTTTCTTGTTCATTTTTTTTTTCTTTTGAGTCGGTGATTTATTGTCAGTAATGGGAAGAGAACAGAAACAATACTTCAAAACTTCAAACCGTTTATTGCTTTTTTGTTAGGAATCTGAAAAGTCTGTTTCAAGTGAAGAAGAACAAAAAGAAGATTACAAGGACTGCAAAAAAGGGTGTTAATTGAAAATAAAAAAAAAGGAAAGAAAAAAATGGGAGAAACAGAGAACCATCAACACCCACCGCCACCGCAAGTGGTTGTACCGCCGGCTGCACCACCGAATCTTGCGCTTTCAAGGGGACCTACTTGGGCTCCTGCTGAGCAACTCCATCAGCTTCAGTACTGCATCCACTCCAACCCTTCTTGGCGTCAGTTTCTTTTTTCTCTTTTGGCTCTGTGTGGTCAAGTATTTACAGTTAAATTTAAAACGAAAGCTGACAAAAGTTGAAGGTTTTATGCTAAAGTTGCTTGCTTTTTAGTTGGTATAACTAGTATTTTCTTTTCTTTTGCATGTTTGTACTTGGATGGTGAAGTTAGAAGATCAAAGGGATCTCTTTAAGAAAATTTTTTTTTTTTGTTTAAAGGTTTTAAGATTTTTTCTTTATGGGTTCTTTCCAGTGAATTCTTTTAAAGTAAACTTTTGTTTCATTTGTTCTGATTTTCTTTTGATTTCATTTGGTTCTGTCACACCATTTCGTACATTTCAATGCCCTTTTTCACCTAAGCTAGGATAAATCTGTTGTTTGCTTTTAGTAACTAAATAATTGGCTTTAGCTCAACCATGTAACTGAAACTTTTTAGGATTAAAATCCTTTTCAACTAATCTCACAGAATCAACTTGTTTAACAGCTCAAGCGCTTTTGCTGGCTTTCCAACACTACATCGTGAATCTTGGAACTACAGTCTTAATTGCAAATACTTTCGTGCCTCGGATGGGTGGGGATCATGTATGCTTTATGACCCGTGTAGATTAATGTCAATACAATAAACTTTTTATGGGATTGATGCCCTTTTATATCTTGGTCCTCTGTTTGTTATGAACAGGGTGATAAAGCCCGGGTTATTCAAGGGTTGCTGTTTATGTCAGGCATTAATACTCTGCTTCAAACGCTTATTGGCTCACGGCTTCCCACAGTGATGGGTGCATCTTTTGCATACACCTTACCATTGTTGTCGATTATCAATGATTATACTGATGAGGCCTTCGCATCTGAGCATGATGTACGTAAACTTTAGTAAGATATAAGCAAAAGTAATAGGAACTGACGAATTATAAAGTTCGTTGTCTTATTGATGTCAATATGCCTGCTTCGTAGAACACTCTTTTTCCTTCCCCAACTTGAATTTTAGTTCTTTTTTTTTGTTCCCTTTTGAGAAAATATTTCAATTGTCTCCATTATTTGCGCTCTTTCTGATTATATCTCAGGTATCTCCCAATTTACAATGTTACTTGTATAGGTTATAAGCTGAAGCATCCTTGGTGTTCTAACATAATATGTGTCATATAACTAAGTTGGTGTATTTGCTTAATAGATTTGCTCATTGTTGGTGTACTCTTCCTATATCCCTTATTACTTAATGACTATCATCTGGGTGCTTGCTTGCAGAGGTTTGTCCGTGGTATGAGAACGATTCAAGGATCACTAATTGTTTCTTCCTTTGTCAACATCATCCTTGGGTATGGCAGGGCATGGGGGGAGCTGACAAGGTAATGGTGAATGTAGTTCTGAATATCAGTTCATATGACCTGTCTTATTTATTTCTTGCAGCTCCTTGCCTGCTTGTCAGTTATGGCTTGAGATGTGTGATCAGTTTATTATCAAGTTTACAACACTTATTTTTCTAATAGTTTTCTCTTTAACCCCCTTCTCTCTAGATTCTTTAGTCCCATAGTCGTGGTGCCACTGGTTTGTCTCGTTGGTCTTGGTCTGTTTGCAAGAGGTTTCCCATTGGTAATTCTCTTTAAACGCTTTTGTGCTTAGCTGCGACTGATAATATACTGATACAAACTGCTATTTGATGCAATTAACTTATGATACAGTTAGGTAACTGTGTGGAAATTGGCCTGCCTATGCTTATTCTGCTGGTTATTTCCCAACAGGTAATATAAATTACCAAGTGTGATATCTCATACTAACATTCTTTATTAATTTGACAAGAATACTTGTTTGCTGCAGTACATGAAGCGCATCCATTCAAGGGCCAATCTTATACTTGAGAGGTTTGCTTTGCTTTTTTGCATCGGAATTATCTGGGCTTTTGCTGCAATCCTTACTGTGTCTGGTGCTTACAACAATGTTAAGACTGCGACTAAACAGAGTTGCCGCACAGATCAATCTTTCCTAATATCATCTGCGCCTTGGTATGGTTATGATGTGCTGCTCTGCTTGTTTGCTTGAGTTATAATTGATTTCATAAAAGTCCTCCTATGACTCATTATATCATGTTATTGTTTCTAGGATTAAAATTCCATATCCGTTTCAGTGGGGTACGCCTATATTCAGGGCTAGCCATGTTTTTGGGATGATAGGTGCTGCTCTTGTTTCGTCTGCAGAGGTTTAGTCACTTTCTTAGAAGATTTTAATTGTATTTTGTATTTTTATTTTGTAAGTTCAATGTTTTGGTTTCATTCGATCCAATTTGAAACTTTAGTCTACTTAGACTTTGCTTTGTTTTAGCTCGGCTTAAAACATTTTTTATGTACATTTACCTCATATAGAATCTGAATTTTAAATCTGCTTCTCTGTTCATTTTCTCACTGAAACAGATAAATCAGCTGCTAATGAAACTTTCCTAAACTTTCTGTGACTTTCAATGTAGTCAACTGGAACATTTTTTGCTGCAGCTCGGCTTTCTGGTGCCACAGCCCCTCCGGCACATGTACTCAGCAGAAGTATTGGCTTGCAGGTTCTTTCCTGGATTGCTGTGCATTGCCTTTTGGAACTTATTCATCAATGATTTCTCTAAAATGATAAACAGTAGTCCTGAATCTCTTAATATTATTTTGTCAATGGTGAAGATAACTTAGTCATCTTTCTTCTAAATGCAGGGTGTTGGTATGCTGCTTGAAGGGCTTTTCGGTTCTCTTGTTGGTACTACTGCATCTGTGTAAGGAAGCATTTCTTTTTTAAAGAGAAGTTCGATTCTATTTAGAGTAGTTATTAACTGTAGAAAAGCATAACTGATAGATTATAAACTTGTTTCACTGTCTTAACTCTCATCTGAATGATATTGCAGTGAAAATGTTGGCCTTCTGGGACTTACACATATAGGAAGCAGAAGGGTGGTGCAGATTTCGACTGCTTTCATGATATTTTTCTCTGTATTTGGTTTGTTTTTGTACTTTCTCATTAATTGGATTGAAAATTTTGCCCTATATCTATCATGTTCATACTTGATTGTTTAACCTTACATCTTTCAGGGAAATTTGGCGCATTTTTTGCTTCTATTCCATTGCCAATATTTGCCGCCATATACTGCATTTTATTGGGCATTGTTGGTGAGTGACTCTTTAAGACTGTAGCCATGGTAGTTCTTGTGTCTGATATCCTATTTTCTTTTAATGGGAATTTCCCTCACGTCTTTTCCTTCTTGATGCAGCTGCTTCTGGAATCACATTCATACAGTTTACAAATAATAATTCTATGAGAAACATCTATGTTTTGGGTGTCTCTCTATTCCTCGGGCTATCGATTCCTCAATACTTTGTAGCAAACACAACTTATGACGGTCATGGACCAGTTAGAACAAATGCTGGATGGGTAAGTTACGTACTGCGATCGTTTTGTTCTCCATTATTGCTTGTCACAGTCTAGTCAATTAGAAGCTAATGTATGGAATAAGGCTCTGAAGGATACATTGAAAGGTAAAATAACTAGATTTTAACAGAAAACAGGCCTGCATAACAATTACAGTTAGATATATATTTTCTTGTTTATTAGCTTCATCCGTCTGATATACATCCAATTACAATGCATGCAGTTCAATGATATCTTGAACACAATCTTCTCATCACCTGCAACTGTGGCGATCATTGTTGGGACTCTGCTCGATAACACCCTAGAAGCAAAGCATGTGGATGATAGAGGAGTTCCATGGTGGAAACCATTCCAGCACAGCAAGGGAGATGTTAGAACTGAAGAGTTCTACAGCTATCCCCTCAGACTAAATGAATATATGCCCACCAGGTTTTTCTAAACACAGTACATTGTTTGTATATTAGCTACAATACAGAGGCATGTGTTAAATCATTTACAAAACTGTAACTTTTGGTCAATTAGCGAAATTTTAATTCTCTACCGCCGTAGTCTTGTAGCTTTTCATGGTAGTTAAGTAGTGAAGTGGATGAAATTTTATTTCTGATTGATATTCAAATGGGTGAGAAAATAAGAGTGAACTAGTTAAAAATATATTAATCCTACACACTTGTCATCTCTTTCTCTGAATTATAATGTAGTCTATGTTCTACTTCTTACCTCTCTAAACTGTATGCAACTATAGTCTTCTGTTCACCACACCATGGAGCAGTCGACTTTGTTCTTCTAATTTATTTTTGCAGCTATGAGTTGAGTAATATGCAAAGTTATTTGCGACATGGGAAGTATGGGCTGAAGAAAATCATATATGATTGTACTAGCCCAAGGCCCACTCACAAGCATGCGTTAGAAACTGAGCCCACTACTCATCCAAGCAAATCTAAGTAATCCATTTGTAAGAGCCACAAGTCGCACATTACCTGGGAACTTCGGTTTTATGAAAGACATACAGGAAAGAGATAAAACATTTCAACTAGAGAAAACAAGTAATAATACCTCTGAAGTGCTATAAAGAATCAGAATTACAGTTAGCCACATAGTTCTAGTTCTACAATCACCTTAGATCCTCTGTTGATAACATAGTTGTTTTCTTTTGTTACTGTCCTTCATTTGATGGCTAAGGTCAAAGATCTTTCTTTGCATTTCGCTAATGCTATAGGTTTGTAGCTGCCCTCTAGTGAACCCCAAATATTACTACCTGCTTCTCTTCTTCAAGTCCTGCAGATTTATCCCACTCATACACCCAATCAGATGCACGATAACGAGAACTTACTTGATCATCTAGGCTTTCTGCCAATTTTGAATCAAGCAGTTCAAGTTGCTTTTTAATCCAAGGAGGATCATTGGCATTCAGCCAGAGAGCTTCACCGGTATCTGTGACTAAAATCTGGTTGCCGTGGATTTTTCCTACTTTTCCTATTGTCCCACCATTCAAACGGACTGGAAAAAATACTTGCCACAAGTAAAGTTGGCTATCCCAATTCTTCATACCAGCGATACGTGTGTAGATATAATTGTAGTGATGCCGATGAAGGTGAGGTGAATTATTATTAGAAAAAATGATAATTAAAAAAATTAATTTAAAAAAATTTTATTAAAATATATAAATGATTTATTATATAATTATAATAATGTTACGTGAAAAAACTCTAAATAAAAAATGAAATATATAAATAACAAAAAAAGACAATAACTAAGCAACGAGGGTATTCTCATGCCTACACTGAAAGGTAAAAAAGAAAAAAAGAAATGATTGGAGAGGCATAAGACAATAAACAGTAAGGGCTATACTCATCTTTACATTATACATTGGAGAACAAAATTTTATATATATATATGGCCGGGACATAGGAGGGAAGAAAGGGTGCAGTGGAGAGGTTGATTTTCCATCAGACCCTTAAGCTTGGAGTTTTAGTGTGATGAAAAAAAGTTGAACCGTGCTAGAGTAGGTGATTCAAATAGCTTCCACTGACAATTAAAGTTATGAATCATGTTGTATTGGGATTAATCGATGATCCAAATATACTTTAAGAATTCATTGGATGGATGGTGAGATTGAATACAGTGGTGAATGTAAAATTAATTACTGTAACGATGAGATTATAATTAGTGGTGGAGATATGTTGTTAGCGTAAATATTTGAATTAAATCATAAAAGATGAATTGGTTAATTATAATTTTTTGAAATTTAATATCCAATAAACACAAAATTCACAAATCAATTTTTCTAAGTAAATAGACATAGCAAATGTGAGTATACTAATAATCTAAAAAGCAAAGAGAGAAATAGAAAATCAAATACCAAAATTTATAAAGGTTTGACTATTTTTTTATGTATCTACGTCCTATTCCTTAACCTTACTTGTCAAGAAGTCTAATGCACTATGTATTGAATGTTACAACCTAACTCTTTAAAGCTCTATATAATCAACAACACAATTTCTTAAAAGTATCTTCCCCCTCATGCTTATAATTTCTTAATACAAAATTTGAGGTGTTTTGCAAATTTAAAGAACCTCTTTAAGGTTGGGTATTTTCTAAGTTATAGTACAAATTAAGATTAAAAAGAATTTCAAGAGAGAAATAAATACAAGGTGAATTTTTGCACTTTGCAAACAACAAATATTTTTTAATACTTGGAGAAGATGATAGATGGAAGTAACAAGTTTTTTTTACCTCTTGATAGCTTGAAATGTGGTGGGAGACCTTCTTTTATGTGTAGAGAGTGAAAGATAGCCGTTGCTTGTATTAAATGTTTGGAGCCTACAAAATTTCAAACAAAAAATAGTTATTAGGGGCTTTCTGAGCATAAGGGGATTGATTGAGTTAGTTGAAAAACAAAGTCATTTTACTCATGAAAGCCACACCTGATCGATCCCTTAACCCAGGTGATCAATCCTCTATGTAGGGTGATCGATCCTTTTGTAAGCTTTGAAATCATTTTGGCTTCTTGATAAAAAATATATCGATCCCTTTAATGGAAAGATCGATTGGGTCATGTTGAAAACCTAACCAATTGATCCCTACAGGAAAAGGATCAATTGATTTGTCAAATTTTTGCATGGGTGAGTTTTTTGGCCAAACAATGGATCAATCCCTTTACCTAGGGAATCGATCGGGTCAAGGAGGGGATCGATCCTTTTCCTTGGTGATCGATCCCTTCTGTCACATTTTGCCCAAAATCTTTTTTTTTTTCATTTGTTAAGTTTTCTTTTGATTCAAAGGCATTTTTGGCAAAATAAAAGTAAAAAAAAATTCAATTTCATATTAAAACAACTTGGTTTATGTTAAGTAAATTTTTGTTTTGTCATTTCAAAGTACATTGATCAATTAAAGGTTAATAATCTCTCACTTTTTTATATGACAAGACTAAATGAAAAAAAATTGCTTTGAAAAACATTTTTCCTTTTAAAAATAGGCTTCCCATGAATTTAAGCATAAAAAATTATTTTTAATAAGCTAAGAACAAGTAAATAACCATCCATTATTTGTTGGTACATTAAACATAATATCAAGAGCATTAATAGATAAGACAATATCAAGATATTCATTTAAGCATAAGCCTAAAGTTACTCCTTCTATAACATATTCAATCCAAAATAAACAAGTCATCAAATTTTCAATTTAAGCAAATAAGCAATGTGACCAAATTTCATTTCATACCTTCTCTTTTTTTGCAAAACCTTTTCCAACTTTAGTAAAATTGGCAAAATTTTTCATTTCATTACTTTTCTCTCTTTTTGTCATAGCAAAAAGGAATAAGATAATCAAAGTAATATGGAAATCAATTCTAGGCAACAATAAGCTCAATATATGTTCAAATCAAACCAACTTACTACCATAACTCAATGCCATAGCAAAACAATCAAAATACGAATTGCCACTTAACATCAATTTTAAACCATTCCAACACAATATACCAAATGCCATTATGAAAATGAAATGCATATGTCATTAATATAAATGTTAAGTACCAAAGTTTAAAAACATAATGCAACTTGTCTTTAAGAAAATTAAAACTTAAAAAGATAGATATGTAGGGAACACATCTAAAACATGATATCAAGGTGGATCATTAAGAAGGAGGATAAAGTGGAAAATGATGGAAATGCTGGTTCATCTCAGTTCTTATTTGGCAAAATTTTTCAGTCATGGTATTTTGATTTAACTCCAAATTTTCAAGCCTTGCGTTTATGTCCCCAACCATGGAGTACAAGCTATTCATTTGAACCATCATAATTTGTAATGCACCTTGGGTATTAAACAATGGACTAAAGGGGTCTTCTTGAGGAACACCTGGAATATCTACAGCATCATGCTCTTCTTCTTCTTGCACAACCTTAATTTTAATCTTTCTAATCCATAAACCAACTACATTTTATGTATAACTAATACTAGACAAAATATGAACTCTAAAAATGTTAAATGGATCATTAAACACAATCTCTCTATCACTCTTAGTGTTTATGTCCCCACCATCATCTAATATAAAAGTTTTAGCTAATAATTGCTTATTAACTATAATCTTTCTACCCATCACAAAAGTTTTGAACCTACCAAGATAATAGATATTTTCATTCTCTTCAATCTCAATACATGTAATATTACTATAGAACATCTTAACTAAATTTTCATAAACTATCCCATCTATGCATAGATAATTCATCTAACAAAAATTCTTAGATATATGCAGATAAAAAAATCTAATAGATTGAAAAAATTCAAAAGATATTATCTTTCCATGTTTAACCTCTCTATGAGCAAAATTTACTTCATACCTCTCTTTAGCAACAAGATTCTCAAAATTCTGATTGAATGAAGGCTTAATTGATGAATTAGAAGCCTCCATTAGAGGATTCTTTTTTGGTCCAACACCTACTTTGGTTTTAGGTGCCATAGGAATTTTTGAAAAATTGGATATGAGACAATAGGTAAGCTTTTATGAAATTGATGAAGGAAGCTAATATTATAGGTGATAGGAAGTAATATATGTTTATAAGGAGCAAAGATATTGAGTGTGATGAAATTTCAAAAAAAGGATCAAAATTCTTGAGAGAGAAATGAGTATAAGTGATTTAAGATGATTTTGGTATGATTTTGTGAAAATAGATAAAGATGTGGTGTGATTTTATGACAATAAATAAAGATTTTGCAAGAAAACAAAAAAAAATTGAAGATTTTTGCTAGAAATTTGGATTAAAACGGATGAGTTTTGAGAGAATTTGTGGGAAAAAGAACTAGGGCTTAAAAATACAATAGAATAAAAGAAGAAGGATGAGGCTCGTGTATGGTTTTAACGAAAAAGAGCCAAAATTTTTACAGCCAAAAGAGGCATTTCACATGCTGTTAGTCTACCCGATCGATTGGGTCCTTTAGGGGATCGATCAATTTATGAAATTCCTAGACTCCATTTCACTACTAGTTGAAAAACCAATTGATTCGGTCCTCTATAGGATTAATCAATTCACATGTAGCCAAAAAAAAATTTTAAAGAATTTTGAAAGAATTTTTTTTAAATGCATGCAATATGATCAATCAAACATGGTTCAAATAATCACAAATATGATCATAAACAAGTTATCAAAAATTTGTCAAAAAAAGCATACATTTGTTCCACAAAATACAAATATA